GGGCTGCCTCGCTCAGGTGTACTTTTTTATGATTTTTGTTGGAATGGATAATCTCCTCCTGACTGTGATGGCCTACGACCGGTTCGTGGCCATCTGCCACCCCCTGCACTACATGGTCATCATGAGCCCCTGGCTCTGTGGCCTCCTGGTTCTCATGTGCTGGCTCATCAATTTCTGGGTTTCCCTGCTTCTTATTCTTCTGATTGCACAGCTGACATTCTGTACAGACACTGAGATCCCACATTTCTTCTGTGAGCTGGCTCAAACTGTAAAAGTAGCCTGCTCTGACACCCTCATAGTTAACATCTGTTTGTACGTGTCTACTGCCATATTGGGGGTGTTTCCTGCTGCTGGAATCCTCTGCTCTTACTCTCAGATCGCCGCCTCCTTAGTGAAGATGTCCTCCTCCACCAGCAAGCACAGAGCCTTCTCCACCTGCGGGTCCCACCTCTGTGTGGTCTCCCTGTTCTACGGGACCGGCCTGGGCGTCTACCTCAGTTCCGCTGCGACCCAGTCTTCAGAGGAAAGTTCGGTTGCCTCAGTGATGTACACGGTGGTCACCCCCATGCTGAACCCCTTCATCTACAGCCTGAGGAACAAGGATGTGAAGGGGGCCCTGGGAAAGCTGTTCAGGACAGTAGCCTCTTGTCCATTGTGGGTCTCTGGGCTCAGAAGTAAGTGAACATTGTGCCTTCAGAAGGTAGTTGTTGCAAATTTCAATTTCCTGATATCCCCCTAAATATTTTAATTTATTGAATCTTGAGATATGATTATATACATGTAAATACACACACACATATTTGTATTAGTTACTCCTCTGTGACTCAATCACTACTACTCAAAAACTACTTAGTTTTTTTTTGTTTTATTCCCTTTATGCTGTCGCTAAGTTCTATTTCTTATGACCTTTTGTACACCATTACGTGAGATTTCCAAACAGAGATTTGAAACACTACTCTGTAGTCCTGATACAGCTTTTTTCTTTTAAACTGAAATGTAGATGTTTGAACCTTACTTTGATTATACAATTTTTCCATCAAGAAAGGAAATGAAAATAGCACAAAAATGATACTGTTCGTTATTTCTTCACATGTATTAATTTCTTCTTGAAAATGCTCCTTGGTGCCTCCCTGGTGGCACAAGGGGTTAAAGTGCAGCACTATGAAGCTGTCTGAAGCCACTGCAGCACAAGTTTGGTTCCCTGCAAGGAAGCTACCCACATGGCACGGCAGACAGCTCCTGTCTAGCAAATACACTTTGGCTCAGTTCTCTGTAGTGACCAAAACTAACACAGATTCTAAAGAGGGAAAGTGGCATCAACACTATATCAAGAAAGGAAAAAGGATTCAGAAAAAAAAAAATTAGAAAAAAATGTGGATTTCAAATTTACCCCAAGTTCATAATTTTGAGGTAGTATAGACTTACTTGATGGGGCTTCAATTAATTTTGCCTCAATAAAGATTATTCCAATGTACTAGTGATTAAAATGGCATTAATGTTTAAAATGATTTACTTTGGGAGGTGTGATAAGGTTAACTGATTTTATCACACTCCCAGGTCAAACTATAGTACAAAACTATAGTAATAAAAATAGCAGGGTATTAGACACAGAGAAATGGAACAGGATGATGGGACATTTCCTCAGGTGGTGACAAGGTACATGCGGAGGAACAACTTAAAGATGCAGGGCTGTAGTTCCAGATCTTTGTGAGTCCCAGGAGGTAAGAAGAGGTTCTCCCAAACATGTTTTAGGAGGGTAACATTACTCTAATAACAAAACCCAGAACAATAAGACAGCACAAGGAAATAAAATTACAGAGCATCCTCTCTCAGAAACATGGTGCAAAAATCCTCAATAAAATCACACCAAACCATATCCAAATCTGTATTAAAAAGATTATACAGGCCCTCCCTGGTGGTGCAGTGGGTTAAAGCACAACACTAAGAAGCTAAAGCCAATTCAGCATGAGTTCGATCCCTGCCCCGGAGGTGATCACATGGCATGGCAGACCTTCCCTGACCCGCCCTATGCTCCCCTCAGCAGTGTGCTTCGTCAGTCGGCCTGTTCTGCTCCCCACTCTGTCGCTGGTGAATCCTCTCACCACCTCTGCACCTCTGGCCTATACCTCAGCTCTGTATACATAAGTAAATAAATCTTAAAGAAAACAAAAAGATTATACATAATGGGCCAGTGCGATTTATACCAGAATTAAAGGATGGTTCAACATCCTAAAATAAATCAATATAAGTCACATCAAATAGAAGGAAGGAAAACAACATGATCCTATTGGCAGGTGCCGAGAAAGGACTGGATAGGATTCATCACCCATTGATGATAGAAACCCTGGGAAAGGTGGGTGTAAGTGGAATGGATGTGGACACAGTAAAAGCACTAAATGCAAACTGACCATTGACGCTGACGGTGGAGATGAATCATCCGGGCAGGGAGGGGACAGAGGGGAAGGGTCCCTGATGGTGAGTGGAGTCTGGGTGATGTGGGGGCGTAGTGCTGCCCTGAAGGGGTTCTGTCCCTGGAACACCACTGATCATGCAACCCAGGGCCATGGAATGAACTAATGGATATGAAAAGAACATGTTACTCTTTACAGTGAAAAAACTTACCAAGTGGGTTTTGTTCCTGTTAGTGTTTTGAGATTTTTTTACTGTGAGAACTAGAATCACGCAAGTGTGCACCTCACACCTTCCCACAAACCACTGCACTCACTACAGCAGCAGGTGTCTCCTCCAGCCGCCTGTCTTCCTCCCACACGCACGCACAGGGGCGGTGGCGGCCTCGCGGTCTACACCGCCAACCCTCCCAGAGGGGTAATTAAGGCCCCTGGTCACAGCAGCCCCGCCGGCCTGGCAGGAGCAGCAGGCCCTGCTGTGTGGGCTCCCTCCGGCTCCTTGTCTCAGGGACCACGTGCGTCTCTCTCTGGGGTCCCATCACTAGTCTCTCCAAGCGCTAACTGGGTTCTGATGTTCACTCACTCCAGACTGTCAGCTTTTGTCAACATCCCACTTATTCTTTGCTGTGTACAGTCAACGTCTTCTCCTTTGCTGTGACTTTATCTTTTACATGTGAGCTCTGTTTTTCTCATGCAGTGTCATGTGTTCAGAGTTAAAAATGTTCACCACCTGCGATTTTACCACTGTCGTTAAAATCACGTTTACTTGAAGGGAGGCATTTCAAATATAGGAGCTTCCTCCAAGAGTGGCTTCTCTTGTGATTTATTGTTCTCTAGCAGGAAGTAGTGACTTCTTAATTCTCCATGAAAATCTAAAGCCAAACTCCTTCCATTCCCAGTGGCTTATAAGCGTCACTTTCTCTTTCAGACTGTGATGCGACAAACTCTGTGTGCACTGAAGCCACGACGGGCCCCCACTGCCCTGTGGTGCGTGTTCTCAGCAAAGGGCTCGGCTGTGCTTCCTCACTTAGTCACCTCTAGGAGGGAAACAACGCCCGCCAGGGGCGTCTGTGCGCAGCAGGAGGCTCACGTGACAAGGCTCGGTGCTCCCGTCACCTGTGCAGCAGCGAGACTTGCTCTGTGACCGTGGCCACGTCTGACAGGACAGGTCTGCGCAGGTGCTGTAGGGCTCGGCCCCGGCACCGTGCCAGTGAAATGCTGGATTCACAAGCACTAGGAGCTCACTCTCTTGTGGGAAATTTTGGAAAGACCCTGTAGTCAGAGAGCACGCCTGGGAGAGGGGCGCTCCCAGCTAGACAGCAGGCCTGCCCTCGAATCCCCTCAGGGAACCCAGAGCAGTTTCCCTTCGGGGTGAGTCTCCAGCTCCCTAGGGGCTAAGTTGTTCAGAAACAAAAACAGTAGGAATTTTTTGTTAATTGGGAGCTTTGAGTATTCAAACCTGGCAAAATAAATTCTCCCTTCCTACCCCTGTGCCCCAAGCTGACTGACGTAACACCAGGAGAGATAATGTTGCCCAGGTTGGTCTGTTTCCCTCCATAACCAGAGTTGTTTCTGTGCCGTTCCTGGACCCCCTCGCCGCCCGCCCCTCCCTCGCCCCCAGCACCTCCTCTCTGCACGGAGTGGACCCCATGTGGACTCAGTAAGTGTCTGGGCAGAGGAGTGAGCCCCAGTGAGTGACAGGGCTGGGGCGTAACCGCCGGGTGGAGCTCGGGGCTGCAAGGAGCTGATTGAAATGATGGAAAATTTTAGGCTGGTAATTTTGCTAGTAAGTTTTTTATGGAAGTCGCACTGCGTGCTAAGTAATGTAAATTCCAGGGCTACATCACTGTCCCCACGCCTGCAGCTACTGCGTCAGGTTCACCGAAGGTAGAGCTCTATCTGTCAGCCACAGCTGACCTATTTCACCTGACGTATCACGCCCTCTTCCCTCTGGATACGTTTATGACCTTGAAGCGGGTGGCAGATGGGAGCGAATATGAAACAATTCAACACGGTGATGTCAGCAGACTTGCTGACTTGATCACTTCAACCAAGGGCTGCTTTCAGGGTTTGGTGTGCTGCTGCTCATTAGTCTGGGATTGGCATTCTAGATTAAAACAGACACGCACGGAGTAAGCATTGATGATCAAGCGTGGGAGTGCGAGAGTCTAATCCAGCATATGTAGAAAACACCAGCAGTGTCTGGGGCCGTGCCTGCCTGAACGCACCAGGTCTCTGCCGGTCGCTGAAGCGGAGCAGAGTTAGGTCGGGTGAGTGCGCGGATGGGAGACAGATGCCCACGGTGCAGTTTCCAGCCTTCTCCATACAACTGCCCTCCCTGGATCTTCCGCCACTTCAGAACACGGTTCTTTCTTCATGTGCTTCATTTTAATATCTAGTTACTGTGTTGGTAAGTCTTAGAGGAAAATAACCGAGTGTTAACAGCTGCGTCAGACCATGAGGAGTGGAGGCTGGAGAACGTCTGTAACAGCAGAATGAGTGAGGCTGGGCCAGGGCTCTGGAGGTGCTATGGGCGCCACCGTGGGGGCCGTGGGGTTCACGTGCATTTGAGGAGGGTGAGCCTACCCCTCTGCCTCACGCGGAGTGTTTTTAACAGCCTCGTCTCAGTAAGGGAAAACAGCATCACGCAGAGTGGAGGTCTGAAATTGCCTTAATTTCCTTTTATCTAAGTCTTGGTAAGACGAGAGCGCGGGTTTATCTCTGCAAGGGATTCTGACAATAATGCCACCTGATTTAAGTGTATCAGGAAGAAACGTGGTGTGATCACAGGTCCTCCGCTGCTGGGAGAGCTGTGCCCATTTGCCAAAAGGGCAGGAATGCTGGGCCGGGCGGCCACTGCCCTCACCGCAGAGCTCCTACGGGCTCAGGACCGCCGCCCTCTATGGTGTCAGGCTGAGACGAGACGCCTTTCACTACAGTCATTGCTCGGTCCCTAAAATAAGAGGGGTATCAAGAAAATACACTGAATGAACTTTGCAATATGAGCTGAAGTTTTAACACTGTCTTTGGAATAAGCCAGTCAGCCACAAGAAACTTAGTTTGCAAATTTTCTCAGTGCGTAATTAGAACTTCCAGATCTAATTCCTGTTATCTTCCTTAATCAGAGATATCACAGTATAATCGGAGGCCTTGCGATTATCATTACAAAGCTTGTCGCGACGTTGATTGGCAAGTCGTATATATGGAACATACACAAAGACAGGCACTGCGTGGACAACGCGGGCTGCACCCCCTGGGGAGGGCGAGGATGGTGGGCAACAGTCTCCCCCAAACACACAGGACTTTGTCATGTTTCCTCTAGCAGCAGAAAACCACGGGCCGAGGCATCACAGTTTCAGGTCCTTTACGTCCATCTAGTTGTGTCATGTCATAACCGTGACTGAGCGCTAGAGAGGGAGGCAGGCCCATGGACAGCACCCACAAGTGGTACATTCAAATCAAGTCCCTTATCTGGATGAGACACAAGACTGTCTTCCCGCCCTCTGAGGGTAGCAGTGCCAACTACCTGAGATGAGCTTTCCAAAGACCCACACTCTGTACTGAGGCAAAACTGGATACTGCATCATTTCTGACTAGATTCTAGGGTCTCCCCTCAGGGTCACTACACCACACCAGCACCAAAGCACACAATCCTTGACCACAGCCAGGGGGCTCCCTCCCCAGCTGACTCTCTCCCCTCCCCAATGCACTTCTGGAAGCCTCAGCTCTACAGTCAGGATGGTGGTGTCGGTTGTTGGCTTGCCACTATGGGACCACTTGGTAACCTCTTTATACAGACCCATATCTGATCAGTGTTCTCTTGAAAACAAGTCATAGAAACCCAGTGAAGCCAGCATCTATAGAAAAGGTAAGTATAAGAAAAGAGTATAAGAAAGAGTATAAGAAAAATAAAAGAATATATATCAAAGCAAAGAGACATGGTGAGGCGTCTTTCTATACAGTTGAAGTGTCCGTTCTCACTTCTGTGGAGCTATAACTGAGGCAGACACTGCAGACGAAGGTGCACGGTGTGAGGACTGACTGACACCACTGGAGTGGTCACCACCATATCTTCAGAGCAGCAGTCTGCAGTGGCTGATCCCCAGACCAGAAAGGCTCAAATCCATCATCATCATCATCATCATCATCCTCGTCATGGTCATCGTCATCGTTGTCGTTGTCATCGTCATTATCATCATCATATCTCTGTTTCTCTGTCTGTTATACTTTGAACTTGCTGAAGCAATGTCTTTGCAATGATTCATATCAGGCTGCTAACTGCAGAAATGGGTATTCCATTCATTGAAGTAATGACTACTGGGATTGTCACTGTGATGTCTCCCCATTGATCTATATTTGTGAATACTTGTCTTAACTTACAACATAGAATGCAATCAGGTCCCCATCCCTAGAACATTTGGTTTAGTTTCAAGTTGGTCATCAAACCCCCTCCTCTCTTGCAGTAGCTGCATGGACCCGGGAAATCACTCAGGCGCAGCTCAGTTCCTGCTCCGGGGCCTCTCCGATGACCCCGCCCTGCAGCCGCTGCTCTTCGGGCTCTTCCTGGCCATGTACCTGGCGGCCGTGCTGGGGAACCTGCTCCTCATCCTGGCCGTCGGCGCCGACCCCCGCCTGCATACCCCCATGTACTTCTTCCTCTCCAACCTGTCCCTGGCGGACATCTGCTTCACCTCCACCACCGTCCCCAAGATGCTGGTGAACCTCCAGACGCAGAGCAAGGCCATCTCCTACGTGGGGTGCCTTACTCAGGTGTACCTTTTTATTATATTTGCTGGACTGGACACTTTGCTCCTGACCGTGATGGCCTACGACCGGTTCGTGGCCATCTGCCACCCCCTGCACTACATGGTCATCATGAGCCCCCGGCTCTGTGGCCTCCTGGTTCTCGTGTGCTGGTTCTTCATTTTCTGGGATGCCATGGTTCACGTTCTTCTGATTGCACAGCTGACATTCTATACAGGCACGGAGATCCCACATTTCTTCTGTGAGCTGGATTATGTTCTGAAAGTAGCCTGTTCTGACACTTTCATCAACAATATCTATTTGTATGTGACGTCTGCCATACTGGGGTTGGTTCCTGCTGCTGGAATCCTCTGCTCTTACTCTCAGATCGTCTCCTCCTTAGTGAAGATGTCCTCCTCCACCAGCAAGTATAAAGCCTTCTCCACCTGCGGGTCCCACCTCTGTGTTGTCTCCCTGTTCTACGGGACCGGCCTGGGTGTCTACCTCAGTTCCGCTGTGACCCAGTCTTCAGAGAAAAGTTCGGTTGCCTCAGTGATGTACACGGTGGTCACCCCCATGCTGAACCCCTTCATCTATAGCATGAGAAACAAGGATGTGAAGGGGGCCCTGGGAAAGCTGCTCAGCAGAGCAGCCTCTCGTCCATTGTGGGTCTCTGGGCTCAGCAGTTAGTGAACTTTGTGTGTCCAAAAGGTGTTTATTGTAAAATTCAATGTTCTCTACCAGCCCTATATATATATATATATATATATATATATGTTTTCAAAACATCATTTCTTTTATCTATTTTTTCTCTTATTATCAGTTACTCCTCAGAGACTTGGTCAGTTTTTCTTGTTTGTTTTTGTTTTATCCCCTTTATGCTGCCACTAGGCTTATTTCTGCTCAGATTTCTTCAGCTTTACAGAGATTTACAGCCTTAGGTTCGAAGTATTGATACAGAGTACGAATGAGGTATCCTTAATAATTTTCCTCAAATATTGAAGTTTTGGCGCTACTGAAATGTACATTTTTTCCATGAAGAAAACAAATGAAAATAACACTAAAAGCATTACCAACTGCTTATCATTTCTTCACACAGAGTCATTTCTTTTGAGCACGTTCTTTGATATGTCCACTCCCCTCTCTTTCAGAAGTGTCTAAGGTGGGAGAGATAGTCACCTGGCGTTTGAAATTGAGGCCTTACCCTATCTTTGTATTCAATTTCATGTGAATAGTGATTTGATTTGAACCTCAAAGTAGGAATCTAGATTGGATGATGGTTTGTTTGTGTGTCCCAAAGACAGATCAGCTGGGAGAGCTCTTGAGAGTTGCTTCATTCTTTGTGATCATTCTCTTCTCCTTTTATTCTCCCCTTTCCTTTTCCTTCTGTCCTCTTTCTCCATCCTACTTTCTATTTGTTATTTTGTATCACTGCATTTGTATGGTGCAACAATTAATCTGATAACCTGCGACAACATAAAACAATTATTTCTGTCTTTCAGTTGTTTTATTCATTTCCACGTTCTCGACGCTGCCCTCAGAAGTGGCAGGTCCACAGCTGCAGTGGTTGTTCATCAACTAGCTCAGTTTTGAAAAGAATGTTGACGGACTGAGTGTGTGGTGGTGTCTGTAGTAGTAGCTGTTTGGAGCAGTGAGTGTCAGCGCATCTACAGTGCTAGGTTCTCTAGCTGTCACATAAGTGTCAATGGTTAGCACCAGCTGGAACATGTGGTGTCAGAAGCGATAGGAAAGGACGCCCCTCAGAGACAGACTGCCTTTCCAGTGAAGAGGCCACATTCTTTATTGAATGTTTATCAATCTCTCCTTCCCTTTTGATGTTTCCTGGCTTTCTTTTTGCTGGGAAACTGATTCTTACATTCTCTGCAAAAGAAAGCTAGGGACAGCTGTACTTATATCAGCCAAAAATAGAATCTAGCATAAAAAAGGTAAAAAGAGACAGTATTTTGATGAATGTTAATGTCTTTTTCTTTTAGTGTTCCATTATGGGAAGACCTAACACTCATCCCCATATACTTAAGAAATTAAGGAGAAGCAAGGTGAATTCATCAATTATTATCAAATATGAAAATAGAAACTGGAAAACATGCGTATGAGACATGTGTAGAGACTGCAACACCCCACATGGACAGTTCAATCACAGATAAAACAGGGGACATGATCACCCTAAACAAAGAACTAAAGGGTATATACCTAATAGATGTATGTACGTCAAAATACACATTTTTCTCAAGTGCCCATGGGTCATTCTCCACGATACTGGTCACAGGACAAAAATCACCAAATTCATGAATGTTGAAATCACACCAAATATCGTCTCTGTTCATCAACGTACTTACCTAAAAATCAGCTACAAAAAGAAAACAAGGAATATTTGCCTACTATGAGACTGAGCAGTATTCTACTGAGTGACTGCTGGGGTGAGGACACAGCTTGCTGAACTTATAGGACACAGCATAAGCAGTTTTTTTTTTTTTTTTTAAGATTTATTTATTTGTGCATACAAAACTGGGTACAGGCCAGGGGCCCAGGGGTGGCAAGAGGCTTTACCAGAGACAGAGTGGGGAGCAGAACAGGAAGATTAACGAAGTACACTGCTGAGGGGAGCAGCAGGCGGGTCAGGAGAGGTCTGCCACGCCATGTGGTCACCTCGGGGCAGGCAGGGATCGAACTCATGCAGAAGTGGCTTTAGCTTCTTAGTGCAGTGCTTTAACCCACTGCGCCACCAGGGAGGGCCAGCAAAAGCAGTTTTAAGAGGGAAGTGTATAGCAGTACATCCCAAACAAAGAAACCAGAAAGAGCCCAAATAAATAACATTCTCATCTCAAGGAACTAGGAGGAAAAAAAAGAACAACAACAACAAATACAAAATCCAGTAGAGGGAAGGAAAAAATAAAAATTAGAGACAGAATAGATATATAAAAGGAAGTGAAAAGATCAATGACACTAAAAATTGGCTCTTTGAAAAATTAAGACAAATAGGTACTCTATCTCAGCCCACCAAGGAAAAGAGGGAACAGGCTCAAATACAAGCTCAAACATGGAAGAGGAGACACTGCAACAGAGACTGTAGAATTTGGGAGATAATAAGAGATTACTTAGAACACTGAGTGAGATTCAAACAAATTCAACAATCTAGAGGAGATGGATAGATCAGTAGAATGATACGATCATCCAAGACTTAACAGGAGAGAAATAGAAAACCTGTAATCATAAACAAGAAAATTGAAAATTATCAAACCTCCCCCCAAACCTCCAAACTAAAGTCCATTACCATCTGGCTTCACAGAGTGAATTCTACCTAATCTTTAAATATGAAGTCATAATTATTCTGCTCAGAATCTTCCAAGAAAGAAGGAATTTTCTCAAATATGTTTTACGAGGGCAATATTATTCTAAAAACCAAAGCATTAAACACACACACACACACACACACACACACACACTCACACACACACACACACACAAAGAAGGAAAACTACAGACCAGCTTCCCTAATTAACAAAGACAAAAGAATCCTCAATAAAATCATAGCAAACCCAATACAACAATGGATTAAAAAGATTATATACCATGAACAATGGGATTTATTACAGGAATACAAGGATGGTTTAACTTCTTAAAATCAATCAATAATTCACATCAACTAAATAAGAAAAAACATATTATCCACGGATGCTTAGAAAGTAAGTAATAAGATTCATCATACATTTTGATGAAAACTCTGAAAAAGTGGGTATAAGTTGAATATATCTGCACATAACATATAAAAACAAACCCTTGAAGCTGACTAGGGAGGTGAAACATCCAGAGAGAGAGGTTTGGAGCGGTGAGAACAGAAAACTGTTAGCACCTAGAAGAAATATTCTTCTGTCACTTCTCTTACACCTTCCCTACACAGGTAGTGTGATAGGTATGTGCCTACATTTTATATCATTTAAAAGAAAGCCCTACAGCTTTAGAAAGTCCAAGTCCCTTTGATTCCCAGAAGCCTCACTACTGCCTTAGGAAGCAGCGTCACGATCTGGCCATGTCATCCGCCGTCCAATCTTCCTGTTTCACTGCCCATGTGTGTTTCTGAGATTCCATCCTTACAATACTTCCAAGTTCTAACTGAGATTCTGATGTTTATTTATAATTTCAGACTATCACCTTTGCTAACAATTCTGGACAACTGTTCTTAGACTAGCATATACATTTCACTTTTTTTTTTCTTTTGTGTCTTATCTCTTAAATGGAAGGTCTATTTTTGTCACACAATTTGATGCGGTCAAAATTAAACAACTTTATCACCCATAATTTTATCACTGCAATTATAATCATTGTCTTTATTTGCAAGAAAAACATTTCAACAGTTTTTCCAAAAGTTCAAATATGTGTTTACTGTTTTTGAATTTACTCCTCATGATTTTTCTTCAGTAGGAAGCAGTGGCCATTTCTCCAAAGAAACAGCGATTCTAATGTTTTGTTTCCTTCTGTTCCCTTTGGCTTATGAAAGATCCCTTTTTCTTTCAAATTGTGTTACAATAATTTTCCATGTGCTCTGATCTCTGGCCCAAGTCCAAGTGCCATTCACGACACATGCTGTCAGTAAATCAGTTTCTGTTTATTGGTCATCTTGAAAATGGAAATGAAGACATGTCGGGAGCGTCTGTGACCATCACTGAGTTAACAATGCACAGGTGTGGGGTTCATAGGCAGGTGTGGGGTTCATAGGCTGTTTCAGTGTCCTGTTATTCCAGTCACATCGGACAGGAAGGGAGACTGAGCGAATCTGCAACATCGGTAGATAAATATTCTGATTCACAGCACTAGGAACTCACACTCTAGTGGGAGAGTGTAGAGACCCCTGTAAGGGGACCCTGGGGGCAGGAGATTCCCAATGTGAAGAGATCAGGCCCGACCTTGTATTTCCCGCAGGGAACAGACACTTCTCTTTGTTATGATTCTAGCTCGACCTCCCTCAGGACTAAGTTGTTCCGAAATAGATTACTATTCTGCTTTTTTTAATTGAGAGCTCTGGAATTCAGAACTGGATGTGCCTGAAAAGATAAATGCTCCCTTCCTAGCCCCAACCAAAGCCAAGAAAAATAATGATGTTACTGACCCTGGTCTATCTCCGTCCATAGCCAGGGTCATTTCTGTGCCTGTCCTGGGACCCCCATGCCCTCCAGCACCCCCAACCCCGCGCTGGCAGCTGCTCCTCCTGTCCTGGACTCCACACTGGACTCAGTAAGTGTCTGGGGAGGGGCGTGTGCGCTGTGTGCTGCTGCAGGAACACCAGGAACAAGGGCGGGGCAGTGGCTACAAGAAGCTAATGAAAATGAGTAAGAATTCAGGTTTGAGACTTTGCTATTAACTTTTAATGTTTTATGGAATTACTGTTGAATTATAAAGAACTAAGTTTCCGTTGTACATCAATATAATCCACAACTAAATATACCACATTCAGCTCACCACTAAAAGGTGACCTTAGTTCTATTTTATATTGTGCATTTGACCCCATTCCCGTTAGCCGCCCCTACGCCTTCCCTTCTGGAAAGGGCTGTGGCATTGAAAGGGATTAAGACTGAAGGGAAAGCCACACAGTCCAACACCATGAGCTCCACAGACTTGCTTATCTTATCTACAACTCTGTCATTTCAGTGCTTGTTAGGAGGCTGCCCATTAGTCTGAGGCAGACATTCTATATTTAAATAAAAGTACATTGAGTAAACGCTGGATTACGACATTGCCTAAGCTTTTGCAGCAAAACCATGTAATTCAAGACTACAAAACACCAGCAGCGTAGATGAGCGACCTTTGTCCGTACCTTTGCCTGTGAGCGGTCTTGTACATGTACTAATATAGGGGTTTCTTAACTTTATTTACTCCTCTATGTTTTAATTTTATTGTTAAAAATTACTTGAGAAATTACTGAGTGTTAACAGCCCATGCCCGACCTTATGGTGGAGTATTTGAAATAATTTATGGGTAACACTGCGGGGGTGGGGGGCAGGTTGGATCTGGCGGAAGACATGGGGCCTCAGGATGTGCGGGGTGTGACCCTGCGTCTCTGCATCACACTGTGAGCTGCAAGCCTGTTATCTCAATGAAGACTATTCTCATTGCGCCCAGAGTGGAGGCTTGCAGCCGCCTTCCTTTCCTTTCCCACGTATCTTGGTTAGAGAAGAGAACATTTCTCCCCACGACACGAGACTTAGACAATGAGGTCACTTGATTCATGCTCATAGGTGAGAATCTGGTCATCAAAGGGGCCCAGCTGCTGTGAGCTGGTACCCAGGGGGCCGGTGACAGGAGGGGGCTGGGACCGGGTCCCCCAGGTGCTCCACCGAGGGACACCCACGTGGACACAGGGTGGGCAGGCTGCGATGAGACACGTGTCACTACGGCCATATGGAGTCCGCAGTAAAGGGGACTCAAGAAAAAACACTGAATTAACTGAAATGCAGTCTGAAATTTAAATATGCCTCGGAATGAGCACACCTGCGGACCTCCGTGGGTCCGGGGCCTGCGGCCTGTGAAGGACACGCCAGAGGGTGGACGGCTGTGTCAGCTGCCTGAGTCTATCCCGCAGGTGTGCTTTACACACCCGCATTCCCAGCCCAAGCGGCAGCCGCTGGCTGACCTGACAGCCTCAAGCCGCAGCGGCAGCGCACTGACCTGTTCTGGCGCCGTGTCGTGCCTGGGGTCTGACCCTGGACCGCCCCGTCCCCCAGCGGCCGCGGCCTCGCACCCACCCGCTGCCTCTCCCGCCGAGCTCTTTCGCTCTCTTTCTCGGGCGGCTGCCTGCTCGCGGGACCTATTTTCTCACGATCTGGGGGCCCAGCCCCGGCGCTCCAGAGGGTCCCCCAGGGCGTGCGCTCCCCCTGCCTCTAGGTATCCGGGTCCAGACGCCAGTTAAGGCCCTGCAAGCGCTTTGCCAACACGCACCAGTTACAGTGGTTTTAGTTTTGATTTTTCTTGGTGCATAGCAATTAACTTGTAGATGCTCCTAACTCTGATGACCTCCTTGACAACAGATCTCAGGCCTCACTGGAGACCTTGCTACCAGGCATGTGGCGATCACAGTGGTGAGCGGCCCCGACAGTCAGACACACAGTCACAGCGCTGAAAACGTGAGCTGCCACCCTGGGCGGGGGAGCTTGGGGTTCAACTGACTCTTCTTGATACACAGGGTTTGGTCAGGTTTCCTCTAGAGAAGAAAAAGATGGGCCCAGGAGTCACTGCGTCAGGCTCCATACGTCCATGCGTGTGTTGTGTCATCAGACTCCCGATACTAATGCCCAGGGAGGGCTGGCGGGGTCTCCATGTGGGAAGCGGGTGTCCAGGAGCTGTTGGGTGCTAGGCACGTTGGCGCATAAATGTTCTTTAAAATACTAATACATCTACTAATCTCAGTAATGACTGGCAAGAGTGCAGTGAATGACCGTATCTCAGCCGGGACGTCGCAGCGGTCACAGCTGTAGGCTCTGAGATCCAGAAGTGGCAGGCCCAGCTGAGTGTTATTGAGTGTCCTCCTTGACCACCTCGGCTCGATGGTCAGCCGCGGGGTAGGGCCGCTGCCATCCCAGGGACTGTGTGTCCTCACCCCCATCCTTGCCTGATGTTTCCCATCAAGGGTCATTATCTGGGATCTCAGGGTCATTTCCACATCCCCGGGGCAGACTGTTGCCAGAACCACGGATGACCCCTGGGAGTGGCACCTGGCGATGGGGCCACAGCAGAGTGGGGCAGGGTGTCCCCACCCAGGGGTCTGCCACGTTTGAAGAGTGGGAGTGGGGAGCACAATTACCAGGAGGCAAGTTTTACCCTCTTACAAGGCAACTGTCATCCAGGTCCTGAGGTGGAGAGATGCTGAGCTGGACGTCACAGGCACTGCTGGTCCATGAAATGGGGACTGGGAGCCATGACGCACCTGTGATGAAGGTCAGCGGCAATGATAAGCTTCCCCACAGTGGTAACCGTGACTGGTCCTTTATGAGTGACTGTTACCAGGGCGCCGCGAGCCTCGGTTGCGAGTAGACCGATTCCACGGCTGGTCTCCGCCATTCCTTTGCCGCCCTCACTCTAGAATCTCGAGCCCCTCTCCCCGGGAGCTGTGTTGTGGGGCTCTGTCCTCTTTCATGCCAGCCCCGTAGCTGCAGACTCCTCCTCGGTGCTCTGTGACCCCTCAGTTATTTGTCACCTGCTCAGGGGCGACAGGCCGCTCTCCGCCAGGGAGACAGAGGCGCCAGCGGCTGTGCCACTGTCTGCCGCAGGGGGCGCCAGAGTCGCGCGCTCCGGGCTGCGCCTTCCCGCGTGCTGGGCTCTGCCACCGATCGGCGCAGGTGCAGTCCGTTCTGTTCTGAGTTGTGTTCCTTGGTCTCGGTGTCAGCAGCGAGGCCAAAGACGGCGACTCCTCCTAGCGCACCCCTTATCTCCTCACATGCGCATTCTCTTTAAGCATTGAGGAGACTCCTGCTACATAACCCCCCGGGCGCCCTGGGCTCTTCGCCAGTGCGCAGCACGATTCCAGGGTCTTGCGAGGCCCGGCCTTCAGGCTCAGTGTCAGGGTCACCACCACTAAAGCGCTTGCTAAACCGTTCTTGTACTCCTCTTTAGTAACGACTCCAGCCAGGCCGTAACTGCAGACATGGGCGGGGAACTAGCCCAGGTCATCACTGACCTGTATTTGGGAATAAATAAATTCACCACAGAGCGAAATCAGGTCCCCATCCCCAGACACTTCATTTAGTTTCGACCTGGTCAGCAGACCCTCTCCTCTCCCGCAGTAGCCACCGGCCTGCATGGACCCGGGAAATCACTCGGGCGCAGCTCAGTTCCTGCTCCGGGGCCTCTCCGACGACCCCGCCCTGCAGCCGCTGCTCTTCGGGCTCTTCCTGGCCATGTACCTGGCGGCCGTGCTGGGGAACCTGCTCCTCATCCTGGCCGTCGGCGCCGACCCCCGCCTGCACACCCCCATGTACTTC